AAACCTGCCCCTAGGAAAGGGCACAGCGGCCGCCAGCCGGGCTTCCCGCTCAGGTCGCGCATCCCCGGCAGGGCTGGTCCTCCCTAGCAGGCACCAGGGAGCCTCCTGCCTGTGGAAAGAGGAGGTGTAGCGAGGAGTGGGATGGATGTTCTTGTGGCGCTGGAGGCCACTCATGAACTTTCCCTCTGCAGTTTTTGGAGCAGAAGTATGGCTATTTCCACTGCAAAGAATGCAAGACCAGATGGGAGAGTGCTTACGTGTGGTGCATTTCTGGAAGCAACAAGGTAGCTAACGAGTCATTCCTTGCCCCTGAATCTTGTAGCAGTGGCACCAAATCTGTGACAAATTGGATGGTTTGGCACAAATTTAGGTACTGAGCACCCTGAGTAAGTCTCTGTAGCAACCGAGGACATGCTTTTTTTCAGGTGTACTTCAAGCAGCTATGTCGCAAGTGCCAAAAGGCCTTCAATCCCTATCGAGTGGAAGCAATCCAGTGCCAGGTGAGTTGCAGTGTCAGTATCCTGGTAAAACTGGCAGTATGTCATGAACTCTAATAATTTACAGTTGCTGAATTAGACTCTAGGTTTCTCTGGAAGAGAACTTGCTTTCATCAAAGTACTAGGAGAAGTTATTTGGGAAAGGTGTAAGGGCATAGGAGTCCCTCTCCTGCAGATGGCTTACATGAATGGCTTTCTGTTCATACAGTACTATGCTTAGCTACGTGAAGGGTAGGGTTGTGTGCTTCTAGGTAAGAAGGCTTTTACAGCTTAACTGCATAGGGTTTTTACTATGAGCTCAATTTTAAGTGTATCAACTGAAATGTGTTACTATGATTAAGGAAAACAAAATATCGCTCTAACACCAAGTGAGCACCTTTGATCTACTACCAATACAATGTCTTGTTTCCTAAGACCTGTTCAAAGACACGTTGTTCCTGCCCTCAGAAGAAAAGACATATTGATCTCAGGAGACCTCATCGCCAAGAACTTTGTGGCCGCTGCAAAGACAAGAGGCTGTCCTGTGATAGCACTTACAGCTTCAAATACATTGTCTGATCTGTCTGCCCTCCTTCTTCTGTTTTGTGCTTTGCTCTTTGTCAGCCTCTTACAGTGTTTTGACTTTAGGTTTTTGACCTGGCATTGGATAATGGATAAAGACTTTTGTACTATTTATAAAATACATAACTTAATTGTATATATGCTGTGAATAAACTTCAGTAGAAGTGTGCTATCCCTTTGTTTCATCTTGCTGGGATGAAACAGGAAAGTATACCTGGAAGGAAACAGAACCTATTTGATTTCCTAAAGAAAACAGGTTTTGTTCTTAGTCTGCCTTTAGGAAGTGCTAAGATTAAAACTGTGACAATGACTTTTTTCCTTCAGTCACTCAAACTGAACTGCGAGGATGATGCAAATGTTCTGGAGCATAATGTCTGGAGTAAATGAATCTGTGCCTCTTCCCACTGCCTCTGTCAAATGTATATTAAAAAAAGCAGCTTGATCAAAAACTATATGCCAGAAGATTATGCCTGTAACATGCAAGGGAAGAGTGTATGTTCCACATGTCCTCCAAGTGAGGAGGGGAAGCTTTTTGAGCTGGGCTATCTGTGATTGAGTGTAACAAATTCTCTAGCTTAATGTGTCCTAAAAGGTAGAACAAGTCCTGGTGCCCCCAGTTCAGTGCTGGTTTGTTCCTCATAAATTTTCTAGTCATATAATGTACCTCCAGCATAGTGGCTTGAATATAACTGGAGGGAGTAAACAAATGTGCTTTCATGGAGACAAAATGTGGTTGGGGGAATCCTAATGAAAGTCTCAGTGTTGTAGAAGCACAGTGGGGTATTACTGCAGTTCATATTGTCCCAGGGCTTTTGTGAGGCTTTGTTGGGAATATAGTGATTTCTGCTCTGACTGAAGCTTAGGAATGATGCTCAGAAAGCTAGATGGCTACCTGGCAGCTTTTGTTGTATCTGTGAGGAACCATAGACTGCTTTAGGGTGAAAGGAACTGCTGGAGGCCTTCCTACTCAGTGCAGGAAAAACTAAATCAAGTTGCTTAATGGATCGTACTCTACCTCCAGAATGATAATGAGGGATGTGCAGCAGGTAGGCTGTCCTGTTCCACATCTTTACCAGTGATATGGGAGAGGCATGAGTGTATACTTGTCAAGTTTGTAGGTGACACCAAACTGGGGGGACCAGCTGATACATCTGAGGGCGGTACTGCCCTTTGGAGAGGTCTCGGCAGCCTGGAGGGATGGGCCAACGGGAGCCTTGTCATGTTCAGTAGGGACAAGAGGAAAATTCTACCCCTGCTTGGGGAGAACCCTTTGCAGTGACACAGGCAGGGGAACAGCTCACTGGAAATTGCCCCTGGCATTAGGTTGTGAGTAAGCTGGGTGTGCAGCCAGCAGTGGGCTGTGGCAGGAAAAGGGCAGCAGCAATGTCCTTGGCTGTATGAAAGGAAGTAGAGCCAGTGGGGCAGCAGAAGCAGTTGTCCCCCTTTACTCAGCACTTACTAGACCACATCTAGATAGATTGATGTACCCAGTTTTGGTCTCTCTGTGTGAGATGGATGTTGATCAACTGTAAGGAGTTCAGTGGAGGCCACCAAAGCTGGTCACAGTGCTGGAGCACTTGTGCTGTGGGGAGATCTTGAAGGAACTGGGCATACCAATCTGAAGCAGTGAAGAGGGACCTCACAGTAGCCTGCCAGGTTATGGTTATTCAGGAAAGATGTGGCTCATGGTAGCTGCCTGAGAGAACACAGATAAAACTAGATGGATTTAGACTGAATAAAGGAAAAGCTTTTCCACCATGAGAATGCTCAAGTAGAACAGGTTACGCAGGGATGCTGTGCATTCTCCATCCTTGAACTTTTTCAAGACCCAACTGGAAAAAGGCCTGAGTAACCTGGTCTGATCTTGTGGTTGACCCTGCTTCAAAGTGGAGACTGGACTATGTGACCTCCTCAGGTCCCTTCCCAACTGAACTTTCCTGTGACTATGATCTGTAAAATATACAGAATTTTGCCAAGTGGTAGAGCAGGTCTCAGCTCTCACCAACCACTACAGATTTTTGCAGACCACCCCAATTAGAGATCTGAAGAGCTTTCAGAAGTGAAATACACACTGAAATTTGAAGATGACTTTAACCATTGCAGATTATACTACTCAGAAAAATAACTGTGTGATTTGCCTTGTATTTATTTTTGTCCTGCAACTACAATTGTGCTGCAGAGCTCTGTGGACTGCAAAATCAGGAAACCTATAAAAGAAGGTGATTGCACCCACTTGTATCAATACAAGTCCTTTTCAAGATTCGCATAAGATGGTGGAAGTGTTTTGAAAATGAAAAAGGGGTGAAGGAGAGATGGCTTTACTGTATTCTTGGAGCTGAGGCTGATATATCAGGCTAGACAACTTTTCTTTTGCCTTTAGCATAAGAAAAATACCCACCAAACCCCAAAACGAACAGGACCATTACTGATGTTTTTAACAGAAACAAACCTTCAGCTCTATTTTGTTGGGGTTTTTTTTTGTTTTTTTGTTTTTTTTTTTGTTATGAAACTGCTTTAGTCAGTGTCATCTTCCTGATTGAGTTGCAACTACAGACTGACAATAAACCCCTCATTTCTCACTGGTATATTTCAGTGTAATGAATAGTTTCACTGTAAGTGACGGAAAAGGTGTCTTGCGGCTGCTGATCATGGATACCATCTGCAACAGTATAGATTCAGACAAGAACACAGTCTTCCCAACAAGCACACACTCTGTTGTGATTATATATGACTTTTATATTTTAGTTAAATGGATGTACTGATCCAAATATCAACCAAAGTTACTTCACAAAAACGGTAAGTGTATTTACAGAGTGAATAAGTTACATAGTTGTCAGAATAAAAGTGTCTCAGATGTGCAACAGATTTACATGCATACATTTAACACTGGACAGCAGTTAAATGTAAGAAAAAAACCATACAGGTATGACTTTTATATATACATTACAAATAAGACATCTCTTTAAAGAAACTTAACATGAGAACTTGCATTTCACGTTAACATTTTTACTTTTTATACTCAAAATTTATATTAAATAAAAATATGCATGCATAACAGTTCAAAAGATTTGACTCTGTGATGGGACTTTCTCCTACAAAATGGCAAGTTAAATTAGATCAACCATCCTTTAATAGTATAAATATATTCATAAAAGCAACCCTCTAGTAAAAAGCAGCCAAGGTCCTTTAAAAAAAACAACAAAAAAAGAAAATCTACCAAGACCATTCGTGTTGCTCAGGGGGCCTAAGAACAGACCTCCACAATATGATCCAGTACCTTCAGAGACAGTAGCCTAGTAACATTAGGAAATGTACTTCATAGCAGCTTGTTGTTTTAAGATACAGTAATCATATTCAAATTACAGTGTACATTAAACTGTAGTCCATTTACAATTTGTTTCATATACACAGGCTCTCAGCTTTTGACCAACAAGTGTGTAAGATTCTGTGGCCAGCTTCATTCTGCCCATCTTTCACTCAACCAAATAAAAGAAAAAAGGAAAAAAATGTACAAGGTTTTTTTTTTTCTTTTTTTAACAAAAAATATTATTTAGTGAAGGAAACATTGCACTTTTGCCAACCTAAAATTAATTTGCTATAAAGGAAGTATTGTTCAGTGTAGTAGGCTTTGGTATGCAATGGAAGTCACTTCTTCAGTAGTGAGTTGCAGTTGCTCAGTGAAATGCTAACTGATTTTTGTGCAACACAGAACAAAGGATGTTGTCCCAGATGCTCCATGCTACCTTTGTCCTTACAGTATTGCTACACATTTGAAGTTCAGCCCATGTCTTTTTAGAAGAAATCCTAAATGTAACAAGAGTGAGTACAGTTTGACCAAACCTTTGTAAGTCTGAGAAGACATCGAGCCACCTCACTCCAACAGGGCAGCACTCCCAGCTTGAAAGAGGACACAAGAGTCCTGTCAGAGACTTGTGCCGGAAACACTGGAGTCTGGAAGAAAAGTATTGATGACTCGGTAACTCTGAGCTCTGCGGATCATGTCGCGGATCTCTATGTTTAGTTCCATTAATTTGGTACAGATTTCAGTCAGGCTCTGGTTGGAGCCCACCAGTGCATAGGTGCCTGTCTGACCCAAGGTTTGGTGTCTGAAGTAAATGTTCAGTAGTGTCTGGACTTCATCGTCAGAGCTACTTCCAAAGATATCATTGGGCCACAAAATCCTGCAATCAAACAGGAGGAGAATGTGTGTGTCATTATGGGTTTGTTAGCACAGCACAGATGGAAACCAGGTGATAGAGATCTCTAAAAGGAGAACTGACTCACATGCTTATAAGCCAAAAGCAGCTTACTGGTTTATGCTACTCATTTGATACTCTGTCTGTTATCAAGCACTGAAATCACATAAAAGCACGATTCCTATTATCTAAAACCCAGAAAGCTTAAGGAAAGTCATTCAAGTAAGTGGAACTGGGCTGAATGTTACCCGATGCCAATGACATTCGCCTATAAGGAATTAGCTCTGTAAAAAGATTCTTAAGAGCTTCACAGAACTACTTTCGATCTATTCAGTGTAATTAAACATCTTAAGTGTTGCAAGCATACATGTTTGTATTACTGATTTGATACCGCTACTTGTGGCACACCACTGCAAAAGTTAGTACTGTCAATGCCCCCACGTACCTTGTTGAAACTTAAGTCAATTAATTATGCTGACTCAGCACATTACATTTAGTATAAAGTTAGGAAGGTAATAAATGCATACGTTTCTGATAACATGAAAGCCTAATATAAGCCATGTAGCAAAACTTGCCTGCATTCTCTTATTTGTCGGACGGCTTTAACAAGTTCATTGTTTTTCAAGCACTCCAGCATGGACTGAATAGCTGCTTCTGTAGAATTGAACGTGGGCTCAGATTCCATTGTCAGAGGCTCAGCTGCAATTGCAGCAGTAGCATCCTTAAGGTTTTTCTTCAACTCACTCAGTTCTCTTGACATATTTAACAGCTGTTCCAAGGAGAAAGGTGAGAGATGAGTATTTTCATTCTCCTCAGGCACCAAAGGGAGTAGGTATTTCAAGCCTATTCTTACTACTATATTGGATGTACACATTATGGAAAAAATCCTGTTTTAACACAAGGGCATTTCTTGGCTTCTGAGCTCTATACAATATAGGGAAGATGCAAACTACAGATTTTTAAGCTTTGTGCTT